GGTCCAGATGAAGAGCAGGAGGGAGAAGAAGAGCAAGGAAGTTAAGACCACGAGGGGTGCGTCCACCCACTGAGACGGTGTGACTGATCTAATGGGAGCTCACCAAGGCCAGCTGGACTGGGGCTGAATGGGCATGTGATCAAAACGGACCCTCTGAATGTGGCTGACGTTTGGGGCTGAGGGAGAATCCAATGATAATGGTACTGGGTTTTAATTCTACTGCATGTACTGGCTTTTTGGGAGTCTAGTCTGTTTGGATGCTCACCTTCTTAGACCTGGATGGAGGTGGGGAGGGCCTTGGACTTCCCACAGGGCAAGGAACCCTGATTTCTCTTAGGACTGTAGAGGGAGGGGGTAGTGGGAAGGAAATGGGAGGAGGGGAGGAGATGGAAATTTTTAATAAATAAAAAATTATTTTAAAAAAAAAAACACTATGACCAGACATAGAGAAGCAATTTTTGGAGTTTGCCCTTATTTTAGACTATTTTTTTCCAGAATTCTTTTACTGTGATCCCGTTCCTCCATTTTGGAATGGTAATGTATATTCTTTACCACTATATGTTGGAAGTCTATGATCTGCTTTTTGGTTCTGATTTTACAGGAGGTTACAGTAAAAGTTCATCTTAAGTCTCAGAAGAGACTTTGAATTTTGGACTTTTAAAGTGTTGGACTATGATAGACTATGAGGACTTTTGAAGTTGGACTAAATCCATGTTTTTGTGTTATAGTATAGGTATAAGGTTTTGAAGGCCAGGGAATAGAATGTGACTGTTTCAAAAAGACTTGTCCCCAATAGGTTTACAGCCTTGAATGCTTGGTCATCTGGGAGTGATACTACATAAGAGGGAGTAGGAAGTGTGGTCTTGCTGGATTAAATATGATCTTGTTGGAGGAAGTTTGTCACTGTGAGAGGTCAAAGACCCAGGCCAGTCCTGCTGGCTTTCATTCTTTTTGCTCCCTGTAGATCTAGATGCAGAACTCTCAGGTACTTTTCCAAAACCATGTCTGCATTAATGTCACCATGCTTCCCTGCCTTGATGAACTAAACTCTGAAACTTATAGCCAGCTGTCCTATATAAAATTTCCATGGTCAGGGTGACTCTTCATAACCACTGATTAAGGCATAAGATTATCCATTTTTAATGAACAACCTATGCTAAATGGAGAAAATAATGAAAAGGAAGTTTAGCTTTTAAAAATACAAAAAAAAAATGAATGTTGCTACCATTGCACACCCATAACCCATATAGCAGGATCAAGTCCATATTTTGGAGTTGAGGGTGTTGGCCTCCTTTCATTACTGTCTAATCAAATCACTCATGTTCAGCTCAGCTATACAGTTAACCTGTGCCTAGGAATGCAAAAATGACAAAGAGCATGGTTTATCCAAACATTTTAGTTAAATCTGAAAATGTTTTGCCATCATGTGGCTTAAGATGAACTGCTGGCTTCTTCTTTTTAACAACAGTTGATGGCTCATTACTAATTAGTGCACAGGCAAAGAAAGTTAATAATGAAAGACTTTAATGTTAGACCTGCTAATAGAGTCCTAAAGTTATCTTAAGAGAGTACTTTCTTATTAGAGCTGACTAAAGAAGGAGAGGCTACCGGCACATGGATTCACCCATCAAGGATAGCTTTTATGAAAAAATGATTCCTTTCAAGATCAAATTTAACAAACTGAAAATACTTTTCAAGTCTTATTTTCTTTCTTATTTGCATTTTAAAATTGTGTACAGGGTATCTGGTGACATACTAATTCAAAAGATTTTTTATTTTTCAAGAGGCTATGACATTAACTGAGAAATTTTCAACTGGAGATAACTGTAGCATCACAAATTCCTCATTCTGGAAAATATGAGTGAGTGAGCACGAATGTAAATATAAGGTTAAACAGATTCCTGTTCCATTCTAACTAAAGATCCTTCTATCACATTATTTTTAAACCATCACCGACATATTTAAATGATAATTGCATCCTCTCAATGAGCACAGTTCCTTATTATTGGAACTGGCAGGGGGCCTTGACATTTGAGTCATCATCTCATTATGTCTATTTCTCATCCTGGTATACAAATTAAATAGAATTCCAAGCCCAGCGAAATATAGAAGAAGTCTAAGCAGTAACTTTAAACTGCAGGGTTTTTTTTTTCCTTAAATCTGTATAATATATAAAGAAATTAACATTTGTAAAAATATATTCTCACTTAAGCAATTTTTAAAAGTCTAGCATTTACTTTAAGGTCAAAAATGCTTCAAAATCTCTAGCCAAATATTAAAGGTTTATGAAACAAAACTGACAGTTTTGATATTCTCAAAATGTAAAAGCTAAAATAATTACAGGTTTAAAAAGCAACTAGAGCTGTGTGGTAGTCGTGCACTCCCTTAGTCCTAGCACTTAGGAGACAAAGTCAAACAGATCTCTGTGCCAGCATAGTCTACTTTGTGAGCTCCAGTATAGCCACAGCTGCACAGAGAAACTCTATTTCAAAATAACAAAACACAAACAAAAAATAAAAGGCAACTACAAATGTAGTTAAAATATACACATTTGACAAGTTTCTCCCAATCTGAAAAGGCTTCAGAATGCACAGTAATTATCAATCATATAGCATACATGTTAAAATATTAATAGAATATTTTTATGTGGTCAAATAGGACCAATAATACTAGTTAGTTTTAAACTAAAATATCAAAATGTGTCAAGTCGGAACCCAAGTCTGTCCTAAGTACTTCCACACCATTGGACTTATATGACAAAAATGTTACTGGTGAATTTTCTAGATCACTTTATTTAGCCATTTGAAATAAAAGTTCATATATCTATCATTCTCCAATCCCAGCACTCGGGAGGCAGAGGCAGGTGGATCTCTATGAGTTCGAGACCAGCCTGGTCTACAGAGCGAGTTCCAGGACAGGCTCCAAAGCCACAGAGAAACCCTGTCTCGAAAAACCAAAAAAAAAAAAAAAAATTCTTCCACTAAACTCCAAAATCATAAAACTAATCATTCATAAAGCTCTTTAATAGCTCATTAACAATGATTCTCAGAAGCCACTTCTTCTTTTACTTATCATTGCAGACACTTCAGAATATGGGTGGTGTTAAGTTTCAAGCCCAGGGCAAAAGGCAAAGCTTGATGTGGCATGACTTCTCCCAGTTACAGGGTATGGCTCACATACACTGCCCTCTACCCTGAACTCTCCAATCCTAGGAGAGGTCTAGGATGCCCTTCCCCCAGATTCTCTTTCCTATGTAATCCAGACACAAACTGCCCTCTTTTGGACCTCTGACCTCCTAACTACTACACTTGGTTCCCCTCTTTCCCCTATCTTTTCCCCTCATCCTCCCTGAACATGGTCCAGCTCAATCTGCTCATGTTCACTCTGGACTTTCCTCGAAATCCCTGCCTCTGACTATGTATCTAACTACGTATCTATAATGAACTGTCTCCTCTGCCACATCTAGGAGTAATCATGCCCTTTTTATTTTATTTTTTTCATTCAGATCAATTATTCATTTATTCAGTTTTGTGTTTGTTTCTGTCCTCTTCCTCCTTGTTCATTCTGAAAACGAGCAGCTTTCCCAAATCACTTGGAATCCAGAAGAACAGCCTAAAATAGCTCTGTTTATCCTGGTAGAAAGAGATTGAAAAGTACCTTATTGGAAACTAAATGACTATACAGTCAAACATCTACCCTGAAAATTAACATGATTTTTTTTGCTATGGCATGATCTTTCTAGATGCTGTGAATATGTATTACTCCCATTGGCTAATAAAAGCTGTTTGGTCTATGGCAAGGTAGGATAAGATTAAGCAGAACAATCAAACTGAGGACTTGGGTGAAGAGAGGAGGAGTCAGGGGAGACATGAACTAGTCACCCAAGAAGCAAGATGCCAGAAGACTGGAGAGCCCTGACCACGTGGCAATACATAGATTAACAAAAATGAGTTAATTTTAAATGTAAATTAGCAATAAGCTTGAGTTATCAGTCAAACATTTATAATTAATATTAGCCTCTGTGTGATAATTTGGGAAGCTACTACTGGGAATTTAGAAACAGGCAGGCAGGAGACAAGGCTCTGCATACAATTTTTTTCCTATGGATTGCTCAAAGTATATCACCAAAAAGGCAAAAGTAGTCACAAGAGATTTTTCTTACATTTCATATTGACTTTACTGTTGTCTTTTTCAAAACAAGTATCTAAGAGACAGATGTTTGCTTGAACTCAGCTATATTTAGATTTCAGATATCTTTTATCAATTACTTATAGTTTTATGACCAAGATTTCCAATGATCTCAAGAAATAGAAGTCTACACTGAAAATACTATGCATGTGTTTTCTCAAGAAATTAAGTTGTTTAGAGGATAACTCTTAATTTGATTATTAAAATTTAATTAGTTCACAGCAAACATTGGAAGAATAGATTTTTCTTTCTTTTGACATATACATGACATAAATAGAATGTTCTGAGACTGAAATTTGAAAGAGATCATAATAACAATGCATCAGGCTTTCCTCTTTGTTTTCTGAATGGTAAGTTGGACAATTCCCACATGTTGAAATTTCTCTCACAGTTTGACTTGTCCACAGAGACATGAATTTATAATGTTAGACTTTTATTGAGTCTTATTATTTTATAATTGCTGTGGCTATTATTAATAAGTGTCTTCTTGGGACCATAGGGACCATGGGAGAGGATTGAAGGAGAGGGGAGAAGGGGAGCAGAGAAAAATGTACAGCTCAATAAAATCAATAAAAAGGTAAATGTCTTCTTTTTATGTGCCAAAATAAATTAACAAATGAGGCAGACACTATGTAAAAGGCCTGGGAATACAGCCAAGTTTTTCTACATACATTCAGGGACCAGTAATCTTATAAATAGTGCTTCAAGCTTCCTTGCCTAAATAGTTGCAACTATGACCAGCATGTAATTTCCTGAAATAATTATCCATTACATTAGATCCCTTCATGCATTTGGAGTCTATGACTACGTACCTTGTCTTTATTCTCAGTACCAGAAGCTTCAGACTTGGTCCTTATTACAAATGGGGTAGAGAGTCGCAGCAAGACCCTTTCAAAGGTGGCATTAACCTTTGGAGAGACGATCTCAAAACAATCCTGAAACTTCAGCACTTTGTGAGTGTCACATCGAAGCTGCTTTCGCAGGCCTTCCCCAAGCTGAAGAATTGCCATGCTGGGGTCAAACATCAAGTGGAATGGAAAAGCTCTGCAGAAGGTGCTGATGCTGATTCTGAGGTCTGCAGGAACTTGAGAAGTACCCTGTGGAATGTTTTTTGTGATGTGAATAGTTTCACATTCTTTGATAAGGAAAGAAAGACAACTACAATTGCTTGGGTTTGAGCCTTCAGAGTAAAACTTTTCATTTTCAATTTGTTCCACTTCTACATTCAAGTGATAGATTCTCTTTCCTGCAGCCTTAATCATTCCCAGCATTGCAAATCCCACAGTATGATGAGGATGGAAGTAGTGTAGCATAAGAGTACCTTCAGGGAGCTCTTTGCATAGAAAAGATGATGACTCCAGAGTGGCCTTTTTCCCAAAAGAAGTCCTAATGTGCTCCAACAATGCATCAAAACCATTGAAGAAGTCCTGCAATGTGCCACCTACAGCTCGAAGGACTCTCTCATTTTCATCAAAGCATATCTTAAAGAATTCCTCACCAAATCTTTCTTGAATTTCCTGGAACTTCAGACCTAATGGTAAAGGAGAATAGAAAAGTTAGGAACATGGGCTATAAGATTTTGGATCCATAGCTTTCAAGATGCTTATCTAAAGTGATTAAGAGCATGTAATGCCTCCAAAGAGGACCTGTATTCAGTCCCCAGTTTCTACTTTCTTTTTCCATTCATCTCTTCCTTCCCCTTGACCCCCAGAGTGGGAGTTTTTAAAATACTAATGATATAGAAATTCATCTTCTCTTTAATATCTCATTATTTAAAATAATACAATTTTTTCTTTTTCTTTATGATTTCACTAATCCTTACCAGATGAAAACACACACACTCACATACACACAGACACACACACACACACACACACACACACAAAACACAGACAGTCACACAAAAAACTATGCGCTCATTAAGTGGAAAGTAGTTACCAAATAGATAAAAAGACAATCTATGGTGCATGTGAGGGTAAAAGCATCAAGCTATCCAGTGGAAATAAAGTTTATATTAGCTTAACAGAATAAATCATGCATTTTTATAGACTCCATGGAAAAAGAAACAAAACACTTATAAAATTGTAGGACTTCAAATGACTAGCATTCTTTCATTCACAAAAATGAAAGAAGCCAAGAGTAGAGTAGGAATCTGAGCAGAGTGAATCAAGATGTCTATTTCTTTAACATACTCATTCTCAGGTGTCCTAGAAAAAGAAACTCTACCTTACAGCAATGCATTATGGGGTAATCAGGCACACAGAGTTGCCCTTTATTGAAGATGGTGTGAGGGAAAATCAGGAGTAAAGGTATTATCCAAAAAGGAATGGAGTCAGACTGTGGAATCTCCTTCGACTTTGACAGAAATTAATACCTATAGCTTACATATCATTTCTTATACAGTCTATCTGTCATATAAGGAGTTCTGAAAATCAAACAGGAGTGGAACATTCTCTTTTTTGCTGCTGTTTTAAGGAAATAAAGGCTTATTTTGGCTCATAGCTTGAAGGTTCTTTCCATCATAATTGGAACAGCAGCAAAAACTGAGTGTTGAATGCTGATTTCAGACCCTTTTCTCCTTTTATTCTGTCTGTAGAATTCAGTTCATAGAATAGTGCCACCCACAGTCAAGGTGGATCATCTCATCTGACTTAACCTACTCCCATCCTGGCAGGTGTGTCCAGAGGCTTGTCTCTTAAGCAATTTTAGATTTTTTTCAAGTTGACAATCAATATTAATTACCACAGTTCTTCAGTTTAGATTTTTCCTTTGTGGGTGGTTTTAAAGACACCTGTACACTCACCCACTCTGAGAGTAATTCTGTGTATATCATCATATACCAATGAATAAATCATTTAAAACTCTGTGATATACTGAAAATACTTTTCTACAATGTTTGTCAGACTGTAATGCTAATTCTTTTCTTGTCCTTTCATGTTAGAAAGAGCCAGAGGTGTTACCCTCCCAAAATCCTCCTTCCTTTTTCAATGGCCTATTAGAATACACAACAATTAAACCAGTGTGTGGTTTAATTGGCTGGCCTCACCTCTACCATCCTCAGGATGTTCCCTCTCTCCAGAAGGGAAGAAACAGAATAGTCAACAACAATATTATTTTGAATATTCATTTTAAATACATTAAATAGTTTAAGACTTTTCTATAGTCTTGGCATTGTGATAACCAAATTAAGAAGTCAGTTTGACAAAGGCATTCTTAAAAGGACTGTGAAATGAAAATAAGTGAAAAATTTAATGATAAAAATCCTTTTGTTAAAACATTTCACATTAACTTTAGTTTTGTAGGCTTGATGTTCAATGTTAACTAACAATGTGACCTCTTGAGATAACAGTCTCATCACTCAGCTTACATGGGCCTGTTACAGGATTACTCTTCCACATACACTGTATAACAACAGAACCAGAAAGAAGTGATAGCAATAGTATTGATCTGCCCAGGTCTCTAGAGTGAAAAAGCAAAAATAAGACAGGTGATATTCATTGCAACTTAGTTCCTGCTCTAAGAGATCTGCAAGAAATGCTTTTATCATTACATAAACTGGTATATTCTTCTCTTTATTATGCTTAATTGTCTTAGTTGTCTTTCCTTGAATTTGATATTGTACATGATTTACTCCTCTCTTACATTTTACAATTTATTGAAACACACTTGCCTGATATAATTATTATATGTTTGAAAATCCATTTCCACATTCTTCCCCAAACTTCTTCCAAAATCAGATTTAATGAGACAACTGAGATGGGCCCACTTCTCCCAAAAACTGTAGGCAAAAGTTAGATTGTAGTGGCATTTCAATTGTATTTTAATATGTAAAGATTTCTTGGAGATCAGGAAAGTAAAACAGCCACACTGCTAAATCTTACAGACATGCAGTAGTAAGCCACACCTTTCATCCCAGTAGTCTCTCTAGTTGCCATAGAAACTGGGTAGGGCATTCCTTTAACCCCAGCCCTAGAGAGCACTATAAAATGGAAGGAGACAGCTCTCAGACACAGTCTCCTTCTGAGATTCCTGGAGGCAGGATCGCCATTTCTGACTGAGGTCGAAGTAAAGTTAGTGGCAGCTATTTTGCTTTTTGTATCTTCAGGTTGAACCCCAATTTCTCTCTCTGAGTTTTTATTAATTGTGCTTCATTAGATGCTAACAAAGTATCCTTTAAAAGTTTTTAAATTACTTTTGCTGTTAATTATTTAACTTCTTATCATACACAGTCCTATTGTTCATTTTTTTAAATAAGCAAATGTGTGGAAGGATAGAGCACTCTGATGTCCCTCGTGTCAGCTGGTGAACATCCCCTTGCTGCTCTAGATACCATACGCAAAAGAACTATCAGTCAAGTAGCCAGTTGGGTTACCTTCATGCCAACACAGCACATGGAACATGTCACAGGTGCCCGGAGAAAACTACACAATAACCATGACTTATTTCTTTGACTTCTAAAGATATAGCCTCAGCCAAGACTGTCCAAACAAGATCTCAGGATATCTATGGGGGATGCTCAGGCTTGCTGATCAGATCATCTGTGTTGCCCCCTCTGGTGTTACAACAATAAGGTCAATAGAAGGCTTCTCTCAATTTTTTTTTTTTTTTGCCTACACTCAGTAATATTTTTTTATTGCGAAAAGAAGAAAAAAAAAACATAAACAAAAAACAAGTTTCCACCTCCTCCCAGCCTCCCATTTCCCTTCCCCTCCTCCCACCCTTCTCCCCCTCCTCCCACCCTTCTCCCACTCCTCCCACCCTTCTCCCCCTCCCCCTACTCCTCTCCCCCTCCCTCTCCAGTCCACAGAGCAGTCCGGGTTCCCTGCCCTGTGTTAAGTCCTAGGTCCTCCCCCCTCCGTCCATATCTAGGAAGGTGAACATCCAAACTGGCTAGGTAATATTAAAATGGAAGCAAAAGAAGCAGAAATCAGGCAATCTTGACAGATACAGTAGAGTGGTGGTGGAAGCAAGAGCTGAGCAGTTGACAAGTCACACTGTGAAACTAATAGACATCTGAAGAAGAATCAGATGATAGGTGGAAGGTGGTGAGGACAGGAAGGAGAGGAGACTGCAAGCAAGGGTGGAAAGTTGAAGCTAAAGAAGGACATGAGGGCATAAGGATCCAGAGAAGAACAGTGAAGTTTTTGACTGTCAGAGAAGTGAGCTGTCAATACTTTAGGATCAAGAGTCTTAGAACTGAGGTACCCACTGAGATTAAGGGCTAAGAAATCTTTACTTCCTAGGCAGACCCAAGAGCTATAATACTTGCAAGGCTAAGGTTTCAAAAACACCACTGTCTATACAAGGCATGTGACCACAGATGGTATCACATGCTGCACCCCCCCTCCCCCCGTCTACAGCCTCAGCTCACTGCTGCAGAAGGCTAGCATTTAAAAAGTTTCTTGTCTACTCATGCTTTCTATCCAGACAGAGCAAAAGCTAGCCAAGGATGAGCACCTACATCCTCATCACTATGAATAAATAAAAAATTTGAATGTATACAAATCACAGCAATTCCCACCTTCATGATCATATATATCATTCATTACTGTGAAATGTTCTGTTGATCAGATTCATATGTATATATATATATATATTATGTTACACATAAATAAAAATATTATCTATAATATATATTAAACTAAAGCCAGAATAAACATTCCTGTAATCTGGTTTTCTTTCATATGTACCTCCTATAGTCCATGGAGTGCTTCTAGGCTTTGAATAAAAATATTGTTCAAAAGTTTTAGATCTTTTAATAAAAAACAGAAAAATTATTGCTTCTAACTGGCATTGATGCTCATAGGGATGAAAATACCCTCCCAGTTATGGAAATACATAGATGTTAAGATAATGCAGTATGCTCATGGATGTTCTCTTGTCAGTGTCAGATCTTAAGTATTCATTCATGAAATACCAGTATATTAGTGTACCATACTAACCAATGAAAACTACTGTGTGGATAAGATTCTATGAATGAGAAATTTTTTATCCTTTAAAAAGTACCTCTGTACTGAAGAGCACAATAACTATCAGTTTTCACATGATACCAAACTTACTCTCCTGTCCTTAAAGAAAAACTGAGTTGCTTTTAACAGTGCACTGTGTATGACAATCCTCTTTAAATTACCATAGTTAATTGACTATAAAGATTTTTGTCCCCATTATTGTTAAACTGAACAAGATCAGGAAAGAAGAGTTCTTAGACTGAAAAATTAAAACTAGTGATCATTTCATTTCTACACACGTCAATAACTAAGAAACAATTTTGTACATTATATCAAAACATGGAAGACACAGAACAAGTAGTTCAATTCAAACAAGGACTGCAGTTCTGATATCCAGCATTCCAAATACCTTTTATTTGCAATAAATCATTTGAAACAATACTTACTTTCCCATATCACAAGATGCTGTGAAAGCTTGTCATTTTGGACTAAAAGAATACATTTTCTCAAGAAGTAGAATTATATTGAAATTATTCCCATTTATGGGTAAGTGGGAAATTCACCTCTTTTAAAAAGTGTTTGC